AAAAAAAAAAAAAAAAAAAAAAGCGAAAAAAAGAAAAAGGGGGAAATCTGGCAAAACGAAATGAGCACAAACATGCACTTGTATAATATATGCGCGTGTGCTGCAGAGGTTGGAACGATTTACACACCGCCTCTCTTGCGAGGGGCGCACTTAATTATGTCATCCACTCGCAAAATCATCTCGACTGCCTCGGTGGCGGAGGTCAATTGAGATAACTTTGAATTATATGACTCATAAATACCGAGCTCCATGACATTTCCCACATCTCCAGTGTTGATGTCGATGCCAGCGTAAGCATTCCCCTTGGTATGTTGGGCTCTTATTTTGCTCACAACTTCTGAGCTATCAAAGCCTCCATTGTCTAATATGTATGTTGGAATTTGTCTGAGCGCCTTTGCAAAGGCTTCAATAGCTAAGCTTCGCTTTCCCTCTACAGTCCTCGCTAAATTATCCACAGCGTTACTCATGAGCATTTCTGTACAGCCAGCTCCCAAAACGACTCGATTGTCCTTCATCGTTTCTGCTAGAACGGCAAGTGCGTCATGTAACGACCTTTCACTTTCCTCCAAAATGTGTGAAGAGGCACCCCTCAAAATGATTGTACATGCTCCATTTTTTTTGCACCCAGAAAATCGAATTAATTTATCCTCTCCTATAATGACTTCTTCAATTTTTTCACAATATCCTAATTTGATATTAAGATCCTTTTCAAAAGTGGATGCAATTTCTGCTCCTAAACAGCTAGCTAATCTTTCCATACCATCGAAATCGCTATGTTCAATTGTCATAACATTGTTCTCGCGAAAAATTTGTTCAGGATAATTATAAATCAATTGTCTGTTAATAAAAACGTTACATCCATGTGCAATAATATTTTCCACTTTTTTTTTCATTTTTAATTTTTCTTCATTCTCTAAATCTTGTATATCTTCAAAACTATTCACATTTACTTTTGTGCCATATATTTTAACCTTGTCTGTGTCCATGGGTGTGTTGGCTACCATGACGTTACATTTTGTGAGACTTTTTGGTTGGTTTATTCCAATTCTCTTTTCTAATATGAATCCTTCTTCCAAATAAGAATCTTTAATGGTGCCTCCAGTTTTTTTTATTATTTGAATTAGATCTAAATTAAGATTTTCTTTTATGCGTAGAATTGCATTTACGGCTAGCTGGGAGAAATGTTCCTTTTCATGTGTCAATAGTTTGGAGGACAAAGTGGTCCTCGCAATTTTTAGCATATCTTCTTTAAACTGTTCAGAATTCATGTCATGACTGAAACAACATTTTTCCAATGCATCTCTCGCTGCCTTAAGTGCCATGCGAAATCCATCGCAAATAATTTGGGGGTGTATTTTATTCTCAATTAATATTTCTGCATTCCTAAGCATTTCTGCTGCTAGGACTACAACTCCTGTTGTTCCATCTCCACATTTGTTATCCTGCTGCATGCTAACGTCTACTAATATTTTGGACACAGGATTATCTAACCATACTGACTTGAGGATCGTTGCTCCATCATTGGTGACTGTGTGTTGGTGACTTCTCGCGCCTTCTATATTCAATGGGGTCAATATTTTGTCCAGCCCCCTTGGCCCCAGTGTGCTTTTCACCAAGTCTCCAACAGCGATGGCTCCCACGAAATATTGCAGCCTCGCGATTTCCCCCTTGTCCTCCTGCGCGCCCTGCTTCAGCACGTCTGGCACGATGGTGTTCATCTTCGCAGTAAGGGTGTGAAGAAGTTAGTAAACGCGTAGCGCAATTAGCAAAGGTGGATACTCGCTAATTACTGACACTGCATGGACCTACCTTTCGTTACGGGATGTACAAAGATATGCTTACACGCACGTGCCAATGAAGTACCTACGCGCGGCCAAGTCGGCTGGGCAAATGTGCTCAATTATGAGCTATAGTTGTAGGAAGCAAAAAAAAAGAAAGAAAACCATGGGGAAGGAAAAATGAGGCCCATGCAAAATACAGCCCTACAAGGTTAATACAAAAAAGGGGAAAGTAAAAAAAAAAATTAACAAAAAAGAAACCAAGTGAGTAGCAGCGTTTTTTTTTTTTTTTTTTCTTTTCCTTTTCTACTTCTTATATGCATGCTGTGGTCTCCCTATGCAAATTGCCCAAAAAAAAAAAAAAAAAATATATATAGCCTAATTTTGTATGCCCAGATTTCACGTACGTTGTTTGTTTTTTAAGCAGGGTAGGCAGCGGT